ACGAAGACGTTGTTCTTCAGAACTGCCTTCCCGATGTAAAGGCCGCCTTTCCCGTGATATAATTTAAATTCCTGGGTGGTGCTGTCGGCTTCCAGGTGGATGCCCTTCGCCATCAACTGGCTGACGCTCAGTAAGTTGTAGCCGAGTCCTTCTGCTATTAGTACCTTTGACATGTGTAGTATAACATTAGTCTCCCTGGACTGAAGCTGTACCACTCCTTGTCGTCGTGTGCGCAGGTTCTGATTGTTGGCAACTGTGATGACGACCTCTCGTTGAAGTCGATGTTCGCGTTGGACGAAGCGTCCCGAAGAGCACATGTGTTGTCCGCAGCAACTGTCCAAGAACCAAGTATCTTTCCCGGATGGTTCACTTTGAGCAATGGCGGCGTACGTCGGATTCGGTTGAAGAGACTCGCGGCGAGGCGTGCTGTTGTCAAGTTGTTCTTTGGGTGAGTAGTACGGTGGTGACTCGGTTGTGCAGGAGTCGGTTATCTTTACCATGCAGTTGACGATATTCCTTGGTTTTTGCGCAGGTTGTCCTGTTGGAGTCGTTGAGGCTTGGACTGAAGTTGTTGGGGCTGCTTGCGTCGAGGTGACTTGGCTGCTCGAAGGTCGGAGTTGTCGCTGTGGTGCTGTCGATTGATGACGATACGGGCAGTGAGTGCGAGGATGTCCTGAAGTCTTGCAGATATGGCAAAAAGGAGGTACTGGCTTCGGTTGCTGTTGCTGTCGAGTGTTGCTATTGTTGTAGTGTCGCTGGGTGTGAAAGGCGAATTCTGGTACTGATGCCTTTTTCTTATGTCGTTCTTCTTGCAGGTCCATATCTTGCTGCTCGGCGTGGATTTCGGCGCAGAGTGCCGCTTCGAAGATTCTTCCGTGTGCTCGTAATATGGCGCGAGTGGAGCGCCAGTGAGGGCCGAGACCGCCGATGACGACCGTGACAAAGGCGTCTTCTGAGATTGAACTGTCAAAAGTTAGAAGAAGAAAGAGAGTTGAACTAGCAAGAATGAGGATACAAATAGCAAACCCTAGAAGGGTTGTAGTCGCTATAGAGCACCCCACTACAGGCTAGAACAATAAGATAATATTCTGACACACCCCCATAGCCAAAGTGGGGTGTAATCAGCAGAGCAGGCAAAGCAAAACAAGCTCAGGGTGGATCACAATGTCACCACACATTCTGAGCACAAGTTCAAGAAGAAATAGTTTAGAGTTTACAATTATAAGCAAAGCTAGTGGTAGTCACAACGGGCAAGTGAGGAGGAGGAGGGAGAGTGAGGGGAGAGGAGACAGGAGGCGACGGCTGAAGCTGCAGACACACGGGCAACAGGAGGCAGACTGGCACAGCGGCTACCGGACAGCGCCCGGACTACAGGGGTAACAGGCCCCGCGGCTCAAATAGCGGCGGACGGGCAACGGACCCACGGGCGGCTGGCACAGCTGGCTACGACTGGGCTACCGGGACAGCGCCCCGGACTACAGGTGCTGCTGACGACAAACTGGCAACCTCCGCTCATCCTCCCGCACACAGTCCCACCCCCCTGATACACACCCACTGCTACACCACTAGCTCTACTCCCACGCACCCCCCTAAAACCCTAAACCCCAGTCTCCCACACAACCACCCCCCTCAGCGACAGCTGCAGCAGTGGGAGACGAAGGAGGAGGAGGAGAAAGGGAGGAAGGCACACCGGCCACCCCCATACCCGCCACCCCACAGCTCGCCCCTCAGGTCGCCACGACGGACGACGGGAAATGGGGGAAGGGGAGAAAGGGGGGGGGCCCACCACGGACCTGAGGGGAGGGCGGGGCCGTGACAAGGGGCGGGGCCGCGACGAGCGGGGCGGGGCCGCGACGGTCGGGGTGGGACCGCGACATAGGGTGGGGCCGCGACAGGTCGGGGCCGCGAAGGTAGGGCGGGGCCGCATAGGGTCCGGGGCGGGGCCGCGACGTAGGGCGGGGCCGCTTCGAGGGGCGGGGCCGCGACGCAGGGGCGGGGCCGCGACGAGGGGCGGGGCCGCGACGGTCGGGGCGGGGCCGCGACGGAGGGGCGGGACCGCGACAGGTAGGGCGGGGCCAAGCCGGGCAGGCGCACGGGCGGCGACGGGCCGGGGCGGGGCCGCGACGAAGGGCGGGGCCGAGCCGGGCAGGCGCACGGGCGGCGACGGGCCGGGGCGGGGCCGCGACGTAGAGGAGAAGCCCGCCGCGCGCCCCGGGGCGCACAGCGGGCAATGAACCGCCGCGCGCCTCGGGGCGCACGGCGGGCAGAAAACCGCCGCGCGCCTCGGGGCGCACGGCGGGATGAAAAAGTAGCAGCGGAAGCAAGGTGGGGACACACCCACAGGATCGATCCAAGGGGATCGACCTGCTCTGATAGCATGTCAAAAGTTAGAAGAAGAAAAAGAGTTGAACTAGCAAGAATGAGGATACAAATAGCAAACCCTAGAAGGGTTGTACTCGCTATAGAGCACCCCACTACAGGCTAGAACAATAAGATAATATTCTGACATGAACCTCCACATCGAAGGAGCCTGTCGCGCAGCTCGCGGCAGCGACTGATATACTCCATGCCTTTTTCGCCTGGCTTCATTTTGATTGTTGTTAGCTGCGCCATTAACCAGCTTTGGTTTACACTGTCTGTTGCTTGATACAGGTTCTTCAGGTGGTTGTACGCGAGCTCCGCGGAGTTGCCGTAGCCTCGGTAAGGCCTGATGTTCTGCTGTTGGGCCGGGGTAATGTTCCTCAGTAGTATAGTGTACGCCATCATTGATTGATAAGTATGCTGCTGCTTCTCATACTGTGTGCCGTTTGTTGGATATGGCAGGGACCCGTCGAAGAAGCCAAGGATTTGCGCTCCTTCTATCATCAGCTCGAATTCGAAAGACCAGGTGAAGAAGTCTTTTCCGTCAAAGGGCTTTGTCGTTTGCAGCTTTAAAACGTGCGCGAATTGCGACTGAACTTGTACTGCGTCCAGTGATCTCTCTTGTCCCAGTGCAGGTTGTGGTTGCGGCATAAAGCTGACGGAGCCACGCTGGGGCTCGTACGGAGCAAAGGTGGGTTATTGATGTTGATTCCCGCGCGCGTAGGATGAGCCATCGAGACTCATAGGCGTCACGTTGTTGTTGTTGTTGCTGTTGTTTGATTGCGCAGGTGCTCCTTGCTGGTGCCGCTCGTAGAAGGACATGAAGGAGAAAAATTTCTCCATCATGCTTGGATCGAAGCCCGCGCCTTGGTTTGCGGGTGTTTCCGTAGACCCAGCTGCTGGTCTCGTCGTTGTCCCCTCCTCTGTCAGTAAGCCAGAGGCAGATGGTGGAGTAGGGGTAGTACCGGGAGAGCCGTTGGAGGAGCTCTTCTCCTTTCTAGCAGACATGTCTTCTTTGATGTACTGAGTGTTGAATAATGATTTTTAACTCTAACTGCTCTCATACCATGTTGGGCTGAAATGCCCTAGGATCTTTGTAGAGTTTAAGTCTGAGTAGATGTTGTAATAGCGGAAGCGTTGAATAAAGCTCTTGAACCACCTTGCGCTAGTATGTGAGGGCAAAGTAAGTTGATAAAAGCAAAGAGATACAAGAATATAAATAGATGAGTACAGAGAATATGAGGAGACATTATAACTAATTTTAGTGTTGCGGTTCGATACAGTGCGACTCGGGCAACTGCTCAATGTCGAGTCAGTTGTTTGTCCTTGCTGTCGCGCTGCGTCAGGTCAAAGGTCGCTGCCCTTTGACTTTCCCGTAACCTCCGACGGTTACGTTAACCTCGTTGGTTGACTCGCGCTGCTTCGACTTGAGCTGCTTCGTTTTGTGTCTTGAGTACTGACACGACAGAGGCGCTTAACTTATTTGTTCCCAACAGAATCGAGGTAGCGAGAATTGCACTAAGGTGTCAAATGAGTACAAAATGAGAGCGAAGGCGTGAGCGAACATTTATACGCGAAACATGCAAACGGTAACGCGGTGCGTGCGAGCTAGCTAGTGCTATACTAGAAGTGGGGCTCGGGCTAGTCCCGAAGCGTAGGCCGACACGGCCAGGCCAGCAGTGCGAGGTTTGGTGAAACAGTGCGCGCGAAGTCGGCAAAGCCCCGTTAGCAGTAACGGCTGCTGCTCTACGTGATGTTGCAGGGCGCGCTAAGGAATATCGAGAAAATTCCTTACACTCATATAGAACATTACTCAACACTCCGCCATCATCTGGAACCGCCTCGTCTTTCTGACGCCACCGTGGTTGTTTGAAAATCGATTTATCGTTTTGAACAACCCAACTCGAATCGTCCCCCGACGCCCCTGACTCGGCCGCCAATCTCCCCCGAACTCCGCCTATTCCCCCAATCTTAGCCCAGAATCCCCCCGCATGCTCTACCAGCGGCTCGTGGGGTGCACCCAATTGCCCGCCAACTGAGTGCTCTGTTCCGCCCACCTCGAGAATTGATGCGCCCGCGGTTCCGCTTTGGTTGAAAGTTTCAAAACTTCCAATTCGTATTCAATGCCCCCTCGATACCTCCTCCATCCGCTTCACCCCAGCAAGCAGTGAAAATCCTTTCTCTGCTGTTGAGTTGACCCACATACTCCACATCAAAATCCCTTTCTTTCCTGAACCCATTCCTCAAGCTTCTTTCGACACATGCATTTCCCTGCTCTCATTCCATCCCATTCCTTGTCACATTCCTCCTCCCGTACTATTTTGACTGAGAAGCAGCCAAGCAGGCTGAGCGTGTGTTAGTGGAAGGCGCATAGGTCAGCGAGTTTGGCTGCTCCGTGCTTTCCATGCTGCTGCCACGAGCACCGCGTGTTCACATTCTTTTCTATCCTGTGTGTATGTGAAGGAGCAGAATAGGACTGCTTAGGACTGTATGGATGCATTGGTGAAACCCCAACCCTTCCCTTCAGCCTAATCACCGGCTTCGCATTGGTTGACTGAAAGCATATATCCCGTCTCGTTACCCGAAAAACAAACACTACTCTGTGAACAACCTCTATATTCTTCCGCATTCCTGCCGCCATGGTCGTAAGCTCGCCAGTGGGCTTCGAGCTCCTTGGCTGCTTCAACGTATCGGCCACATTCGAGCGCGAGGGGCAGCGTATCGGCCAGCCGAAGAGCCACGTCGCCGTCGTCAGCATCCCGCGGAGCCGCGTTCCAGCCGGAGGCGGCCCGATAAGCTTATCCAGCCCCAGCCCTGGCTCTGGAGATAGTATCGAGGATGCTGTTGACGGGGCGACGGTTGATGATGGCGGAGGCACGGCAATGGCGCTGCTGTTCGTCGCGAAAGCGGGGTTCACGAACGCCGTTGCTGCCGCGGGAACCGCCTTCGCCATCAATGACATGGGGAGGTTCCGAATGAAATTCATTCACGAGGGTAAGTTGTGCAGTAGGAAGTTCGGCTGTGCGCCATTGCGTACTACGTTGTGTGCTAGGACGGTCCCCCGCCGCCTCCATTCTCGCTTCCATGCGCATTCTCTCATGATCTGTTTTTCGCCTAGCACGTGTAGTTTCCACACCGTTTCTTTGCGCGTTTCTTGAGCATCCAGCGTTTCTAGCGCTACGTGTGCAACCGGCAACTGCTGATGAAGCTGCTCTAGCAGCGGTTTCATCCCGCGGTTTCCTGCATTTACTAGGCGAGGGTCTGCTTCTTAAACCCCACCCGTTCAAGCCGCGTCTAGTTGGTTAATCTCAACGCAACGCCAAAGTGCTTCGGAGTTGCCATTACAGGGAAGTTCTCGTTCGAGGTGCGCGGCGAAGGGCCCGGCGGGAACACGCTGGTGCTGTGCAGCGTGAGTCACGGGCAGCTTCCGCAGGACGTGCGGCGGCTGGCGCAGTTCATTTCTGATATCAAGATCGGCAAGGCGCCCGGCATGCCGCACAAATGCGTCGCGTGCGGCTTGAAGGATAAGGCGGAGGTGGACAAGAAGCGCAAGCAGGAGGAGGTGAGAGCAAGCTGCCTCGCTACTTCTACCGTAACGTTTTGGTTTGTCCATGCATACATGAGTGATTTTGCGGTCTTGGTTGTCATCCTTGATTATTTGTCTTGCATCGTATCTGAATCGAAGGAGCTGACGAATCTCACTGTCTGTGCTTGCCCGTGCAATGCGTTGCACGGACGTGCACGGTGCGTGTGCACAATGCGTTTCGTGTGTGGCACGACAGGCGGTGAAGGAGCGGGAGGTGAAGAGGCAGCGCATGGAGGAGGAAAAGAAGGTCAAAGACGAGCAGAAGAAGCGCGAAAAGGTGCGTGCGCTCGAGGCCTTTCTTACTGCCAGCCCCCCCTGCCGCAGCGCGCGGTTCCCCGTCCTCACTGCTGCGCGTTCCTACCGCTGTGACCTTCTGCTTCTGCTTCTCCCACCTCGAACCTCCCATCCGCGTATCTCGCGAGTTGGGCTCATTGCGCTGCTCTGAAGCGCCCCGTGCCTGTTACGAATCCTGCTCTGCTGCGTTTTCGCAACCCGCCCTTCTTCCGCTCATTCCGCCGCGGTCGTGCGTCCCCATTGACCCGCGCGTGGGGCGGGAAATGCGCAGGAGGAGCGTGAGGCGCGGCAGAAGCAGGAGCGCGCTATGAAAGAGCTACAGAAGAAACTCAAGGAGGTGGAGAAAGACAGAGACGACATGGATCGAATACGCGAGGCGCTCGGCAAGGAGCTCAAAGAGCGCGGCGAGATTATCCGAGACCTGCAGGAGAAGCTGAAGGAGAAAGCGGCGGCTGCTGTAAAGGAGGCGGAGAAGCGACGCGAGGAGGAGTCGCGACGCGCGCGGGAAGAGAGCGCGGCGAGAGACGCGGCGTGGAGGGTGAAGGAGGCGGAGATACGGCGGGCGATGGAGGAGGAGTTCCGCGTGAAGCGGGAGGAGGAGCAGCGCGTGCGGCACGCGGCGGAGATGCAGCGGTGGGCGCGGGAGCAGCAGAAGGCGAAGGAGGTGGAGGAGCTGCGGCGGAAGCTGCAGGAGGAGGAGGGGAAGCGGATGTTCGAGGCCATGTCGCACCGGGAAGAGATGGCGAAGATGAAAGCGGAGGTGGAACGCATGCAGCAGCACTACCAGCAGCACCAGCAGGGGCAAAACCAGCAGGCGGATGCATTTGTAAGTTGTCATGGTGCCATTAACCTTGGTGGTTGTGTGATGGTTCCCTTCGTTTCATTCGGCTCCCACGTTCCCTCCCAACGTTCAACGATCCCGTTGGCTCCATTGGCTCTCTTTTGAAGCTTTTCCTGCTAAATGCGCGCTTACCTCCTCGTGTACCCCTCCCATTCCCCCTCTCTTTCTCCCATGCGCTCCCCCGCGCTCCATTTTCCTCCTCCCCTCTCGTTGCTTTCCCCCCGAAACATCACTTTCAGGGTCCCCCGCCTCCGCCTCCCCCGAAGGATGCGCCCGCGGAGGTACTCTCGCGGTACAGCACCCTGCTGCGCGAGCGCGAGGCGCGCATGCGCGCGGCGTTCGCGGCGGCGGCGGCGGAGATTCGACGCGCGGAGGGGGAGCTGCGGAAGAAGCGCACGGAGGAGGAGCGACGGCGGAAGGCGGAGGAGGCGCGGCGGGGCAAGGCGGAGAGCGCAAGGCAGAAGCGGGAAGAGGCGATGAACGCGGAGAGGATGAGGGAGGAGGAGGAGAGGAAGCGTGCGCAAGCGGAGGAGATGAGGAAGCGGGAGGAGGAGAGGAAGCGGATGGAGGAGGCGGAGAAGGCGAGGAGGGCGCAGGAGGAGGTGCGGCGGAAGGCTATGGCAGAGGAGAGCGCTCTAGCTGCGAAGCAAAAGTGGCTGGAGGATCAGTACCGCATGCGACAAGCAGGTGAGGGTGAGGGTGGGAAGAGAAGGGAGAGGAGTGAGGAGGGAGGAGGGAGGAGGTAGGAGGGAGCGGAAGAGGGAGGGAGGAGAGGTGAGGATCAGTGTGTCGCCAGTTAAGGTGAATCCTGTGAGTCAGAAGGTTAAAGGCGAGTGAGCAATTGCTCTTGATGCTGGTTGTTTGCATGAAGGGCCCCATTCCCAGTTTTCTGACCCGCCTTCCTTCATCTGTGTTTGTGGTACATGTGTGTGCATGTGGATTACGATTTCATGGTGCGTTTGATGCCTGCGGTGATGAACGCATGCTTGTGTGGTGGTGGGTGTGGGGGGTCTGGGGGAGGGAACCATGTATGCTGTGCTGATGCTTGGTTGCCTGTATGCCCATTGCCCATGCCTGTCCAGCCACGCCCATGACCTACGAGCAATACGAGAACCGGCTGAGACAGATCAAGAACTCAGCCGGCAGCGCCAACGTGCCTCTGCACTTCTGGGACATCCCCTGGCCGCCCGAGGGCAACTGCCTCTTCCTCTCGCCCACCGACGACCCTGGGCTCAAGAAGAGGAAGTTCAAGGATGCGCTGCTCTTCTGGCATGCTGATAAGTTCGTGGCTTTCTGCGGGTCTCGGCTAGTGGAGGATCACAAGGAGGTGATTCTGAAAAAGGTTGCCCGGTTGAGTCAAGAGGTTGTGGAGGCAAGGAATAACTTGTGACATGCGAGGTTACTTGGTTTGAGGGTGGGGGGAAGGGGTTGATTGCGATTAGTGCCTGGTAGCAATGCCTCACTTTTGTGCGGTATTCTGTTGATCAGAGGATGGAAGGTTTTGGGATGCATAGTGGTGATAGTGTTGGTTGCGGACTTGTTGATATTATCGACACAAGTGCAACACAATGGATAGTACCTAAATACTAACCTGAGGCTTGTTACCATAGTTCGTTTTAGGTCAAGATTTCTAGTAGAATTTAGAATGTGCAAATATTGGTCCTGTTCTTAAAAAAAAATCTCCTTGAAATATTTACGGTACCTAGAGTGGTTACCGTATGTTGAGACGAGGGGTGGCTCTACCAAATGCTCCCATGTAGATATGCATTGCTAAAACTGGGTCTCCTTGGAGGACTTCTCGTAGAGTGACCAACAAGAGCTCTTCTGGTAGAGTGGTAAATCTTTGGAAGGACATCCATGCAAAATTGATCCGTCCGTCCGTCCATTGGCTAGCAAAATTCTGCTAGCACCTGAGTGGTTGCTCATATTTCATGAACTTCCTATTGGGACAGAGTTTTTTTGGTGGATAAGCCCTTCATCTCTCATTTGCGTAATCTGCCAAGCTGGCGAGTGTACTGCTTTGGAAGAATGGCATGCCTTCAAGGTGACGCCACCTCGTTCGTTCCGAACCAGCTCTGCCAGGGTTTGGCGGGAAGATCCACTCTCGTCGATATGACCCTGTGGTGCGGAGCCGAGGCTACCTCCTCATTGTATCACATGCACTGGGCCCTTGGCAATCGCATACGCGTTATGAGTACACTTTCTTTTCATGAGCTTCGGTTAGAGGCTGCATCGTGTCGTTCTTGTTCCAAACTGCTGCCGTTTAGGGAGGTGGGTCGTGCCGTGTACATTGCAGCCCACGAGGAGGAACATACCAGAACCTGTAGGTTTGAGCAGCTTCTTGGTTTCAATCAACCCCCTAGAACGCTTTAGATTGTCGATCATGCTGTCCAGCATTCTGAGGTAGTTATATGTTCGCCTGTTTACTGCGCGAGGTTCATATGCTACATTGCGTTGGTTCCCTGCAGAAGGGACCGACGCTGGAAGCTTCTCTATCACCGTAGCTTAGCTTGTAACGAAGCAGCAGCACGAGCAGCATGGCCGGGAACCCACCACGGTCGCAGCCCGAAGTCATCGTGCTGTCGTCCGACGACGAGGACGACAAAAACGACGTGCGCGTGCGACAGATTGCTCGCACATTAGGTGGAGCCCGAAATAACAGGCCGCGTTTACCTCCCAGAGACATCAAGCCAGACGTTGGGGAGGTTGCGGGGACAGCACGCAACCGTGGAGGAAATAGTTCCTTTCAAGCTAATGGTATTGAGCCGCGCGGGAGGGTTCGAGGAGTCCCGCGCGTGGAAGTCAAAACGGAAGGACAAGAGGACGCGGAGGGTGGTGGAGATGGCAGGGAGCTGAGAAGGGAGAAGATGAGAGAGACTCGGACGGAAATGGCAACGGAAGCGGAAACAGCGACGCGAGGAGCGGGTAGTGGATCGGCAAGGCTCGTGCGTTGCAACCAGAATCGCAACCAGCGTTGCAACCACCATCGCTCCCAAAGTTGTTGGTACCACAGCCGAGTGGTTCCTTGCAGACATCTCGCTTATCGAAAAGCCAGACCGGTGAATTGTTCACGGTACCACGGCGGCAACGGGCGTCGCCATCGGGATATGCGAACTGCGCGACTGTCAGGCGACCGTGGCGTGAAGCGGAAACGGCGGGTTGATTCGAATGAGAGGAACCGCGAGGGAAGGGAGGAGAGGAGGAGACGAGAGGAAGCGGAAGGAGCAGGTCATGGTGGGGAGGGTGAAGATTCGTGGTTGGGAGCGGTAGGTAGGGTGAAGGTGGGGGATGAGGAAGCGGAGGAGAGGGAGGGGGCCTGGGAGGTGCCTGGGGGGTTGGCGAGAGGCGGCGGAGAGGCTTTGTCGCCTGATGGTGTGCCGCATGGCGACGAGAGGAGAGGAGCGATGGAGGAGGCGGGGCTAGATGATGAGCTGGAAGAGGGCGAGGTGGTTGGGGACGATGATGAGGATGAGGAGGAGGATGGCGAAGAGGAGGAAGAAGAGGGGGAGGGGGATGGAAGGGGGAATGATGAAGGAAGATGTGTGGAGGACGAAGTGGTAAGTGAGAGGGAGGACGAAGGGTTGAGGAAGGGGGAGGAGGAGGATGATGACGTGGAAGGGGAAGGAGAGGAGGAGGGGGAAAGGAGAGTGGGAGAGGGAGTATGCGGGGAGGAGGACGACGAGGAGAAGGGGCGAGAGGGAGAGGCGAAAAGCGAGGCTGGTTCCTTGGGTGATGCAGGGAGAGGAGGAGACCGTGGCGGGAGGAGGGATGCAGTAAGAAAGGGAGGGAAGGAGGTTGCGGTGAGTGAGAGGGTAAATGATGATGCACGTACTACCGCTATGGGCCCCGCAAGGGCAAGGGAGATTGCGGTAAGGGAGGGAGCGAATGAAGAAGCATTGGTCGGCGCACATGTGAAGGATGAGAGGTTAGAGACGGGGGACGCGGAGCGTGAGATTCAGGAAAAACGGGGAAGAGGCGGGTTGGCGAGCGAAGGCAGTGTGGGGAAGCGTGCGGAAGAGGCAGGGGAGCGTGAGACTAAGGATGGGAAGAGGAGGAGAGAAGAAAGGGACTTGGATGAGGAGAAGCGCAGGGAGATCGATGGCAGGGGGAGTGACGGCGGGGGACCAACAGGTGAGAGCGTCAAGAGAAGGAAAGAGAGTGAGGAGAGGGCGGAGAGGGGAGCGAAGGAGTTGAGTGGAGGAACGCCACAGGAGGCGAAATTGGGAGCATGCATTGCCCAAAGTAATGGGCGAAAAGGGGGGGCATCAGAGGCCGGTGCCGCGGTTGTGGGGCGAGGTGGTGAGAGTGGGGGCTTGCTGCTGGCTCCTGGTGTGGTCGCAACTTCTAAAGTGCCTCAGAAGTCCGCTCCTGCTGCTCTGGCAACTTCGAAAGTGCCTCGGAAATCCGCTCCTGGTGCTCTGGCAACTTTTAAAGCGCCTCAGATGTCCGCTCCTGGTGCTGTGGCAACTTCGAAAGTGCCTCAGAAATCCGCTCCTGCTGCTCTGGCAGCTCCTAAAGTGCCTCAGAAATCCACTCCTGCTGCTGTGGCAACTTCTAAAGCGCCTCAAAAGTCCGCTCCTGCTGCTCTGGCAACCTCTAAAGAGCCTCAGGAATCCGCCCCTGCTGCTCTGGCAACTCCTAAAGTGCCTCAGAAGACCGCTCCTGGTGCTGTGGCAACTTCGAAAGTGCCTCAGAAATCCGCTCCTGGTGCTGTGGCAACTCCTAAAGTGCCTCAAAATTCCGCTCCTGGTGCTGTGGCAACTTTTAAAGGGCCTCAAAAGTCCGCTCCTGGTGCTCCGGCAACCTCTAAAGTGCCTCAGAAGTCCGCTCCTAGTGTTCTGACAGCAGGTGCAGGCAGGAGCGATGGTGGTAACGCAGTGAAGGACATGCATGGGGACGGACATGCTGCTTCTGTGGGTCCAGATGCTGTTGGGTTTGCGTCTGCGTCTTCTCCTGCCTCTGCCTCTGCCTCTGCCCCTGCCTCTGCTTCTGCCTCTGCCTCTGCCCCTGCCTCTGCCTCTGCCTCTGCCCCTGCCTCTGCCTCTGCCCCTGCCTCTGCCTCTGCCTCTGCCCGTGCCCGTCCCCCTGCCCCTGCGTCTGCACCCTTTGCTGCCCGTGCCGCTGCCAATGCGGCTGCTCCTGCCTCTGCCCCTGAGTCTGCCACTGCCGCTGCCCCTGCCCCTGCCTCTGCCCCTGCCTCTACCTCTGCCCCAGCCTCTACCTCCCCTGCCTCTGCACCTGCCGCTGCCCGTGCCGCCGTTGCTTCTGCCTCTGCCTCCGCCCCTGCCTCTGCCTCTGCCGCTGCCTCTTCCCCTGCCTCTGCCTCTGCCCCTGCCTCTGCCTCTGCCCCTGCCTCTGCCTCTGCCTCTGCCTCTGCCTCTGCCCGTGCCCGTCCCCCTGCCCCTGCGTCTGCACCCTTTGCTGCCCGTGCCGCTGCCCCTGCGGCTGCTCCTGCCTCTGCCCCTGCGTCTGCCTCTGCCCCTGCCCCTGCCCCTGCCCCTGCCCCTGCCCCTGCCCCTGCCCCTGCCTCTACCTCTGCCCGTGCCCGTCCCCCTGCCCCTGCGTCTGCACCCTTTGCTGCCCGTGCCGCTGCCCCTGCGACTGCTCCTGCCTCTGCCCCTGCTTCTGCCGCTGCCCCTGCCTCTACCTCTGCCCCTGCCTCTACCTCTGCCCCTGCCTCTGCCGCGGACGCAGACCCAGGCCGTAGTCCAGTATCACAGCCGGATGCAGGTACTGGCGCTGCTGGTCGTGGCAGGGATACTGCTGAGGGAGCTGTTTGTGCCGGGGGCAGTCGTGGCAATGCAGGTGCGGGATCAGTAGGTGCTAGACCGAGGGACGTGCTGCAGCAGGCAGGTGCACATACCGAGTTCCACAGCAATGCACAGAACGTGAGGGAGGAGGCAGGGAGAGAGAGCCAAGTAACAGCGCCAATGCTGCTCGTGAAACCAGAGGCAGCGAGTGAGGATGAGGGTGAGGATAGCGAGGAGGATGAGGAGGAAGGCGCAGGGAGTTGGGAGGAGGTGGAAGATGAAGAAGAGGAGGAGGAGGGGGAGGAAGAAGAGGCGTGCGGAGTGGTGCGTGCAGGGCAGGAGGCGGGGAGTGGGTTGGAGGGAGTGGTGGTGCCGTCTGCACGCCTGATGCTGCAGCCTGTGGTGAAGCAGGAGCTGTGCGCACTTGATGCAGGAGAGTGTGGTGGGGAGGGGGAAGGTCTGCCTGCTCTGCTGGCGTTGCCACCTATACGAACAGCTGCAGCAGCGCAAGCAGCAGCGCCAGCAGCAGCGCCAGCAGCAGCGCCAGCAGCAGCGCCAGCAGTAGCGCCAGCAGCAGCACCAGCAGCACCAGCAGCTGCAGCAGCACCAGCAGCACCAGCAGCTGCAGCAGCAGCAGCACCAGCAAGTTCAGGCCCTGTGGCTCCTGCCTCAGCAGCAGCAGCTGCTGCTGCAGCACGGGAATCTGCTAGTGCTCATGCGTCCGTCCCTCCTGCATCAGCAGCAGCAGCTACTGATGCTGCTGCCGCTGCCTCTGCTGGCCAGGGATTAACGGCTGGAGGTTCTGCCATGGCGACAGCAGAAGATAGTGGTACAAGTAAGACGGATGCCGCTCCTGCCCCTACAGATTCCGCTACAGCTACCGCTGCTGCTGCTTCTGCTGCTTCTGCTGCTGCTGCTGCTCCTCCCGATCCTACTCCTGCTGCTGTTCCAGAACGGTCACAGGCCATAGCCATTTGGGTGCCGCCAGCAATGCCAGCAGAGGCAGAGCCAGAGGGAGAGAGAGAGGGAGAGGGTGAAGCAGCCTCTGGAGAAGGCGACATGAGAGCAGGGGGGTTGGAGGGGGGTAGCCATAGGGACGTGGGGGTAGGTAAAGGAGTAAAGGCCGAAGATGATACGGCGTGTGGTGGTTTGGGGATAGAGGGCGTGCCTAGGAGCGACTTGGAGAGGAATGCAAGGCAGCAGCGTGATGGTGTTGCTGATGAGCCGTTGCTGCCGCTGCCCTGGGAAGCATTGCGGTCGATGCAGTCAACGCAGTCAATGCAGTCAATGCAGCAGGTGCCGCTGGTACAGCTGTTACAGTTGCCGGGGGTTTCGCGTGGAGGCGGCTATAATGAAGGGTCTGCAGGAGCAGGGGCAGCAGTGGGAGCAGGGGGGCCAGTGGGGGCAGGGGGGCCAGTGGGGGCAGGGGGAGCAGCACTGGCACTGCCGTGGGGGGATTGGGAGGCGCGGGTGCGAATGCTGCGGAGGCAGCACATGCTATTTGAAAGCAAGGACGTGGATGGGGAGCAGGCTGAGGTGGTGTGGCGGGAGAGGCAGCAGCAGCAACAGCAACAGCAGCAACAGCAACAGCAGCAACAGCAACAGCAAAACATGCTGCTGCTGCAGGGAAGGGAGCGGAGTGAGAGGGAGGAAAGGGAGAGGAGGGAGGAGAGGGGAGAGCAGAAGTTGCTGATGCTGCCGCCGCCGCTGCCGCAGCAGCAGCAGCCGCAGGAGGAAGCACAGCGACGTGCTCTTGAGTCAGGGCGAGAGGGACGGGGTGAGGGTTTGGAACATGGTCAGGGGCAGGGGCAAGGGTGGGAGCAAGAGCAGACGGTAGGAGCCCGAGGGGCAGGTGTGCGGGAGCATCGGCTGTTGCAGGAGGTTCAGGTGGGGGCAGCGGCGGCAGTGGCGGCAGTGGCAGCAGCGGCGGCAGCAGCACAACAGGCGGTGCAGCAGCAGCAGTGGCGAGTGGAGGTGGAAGATGTGGTGGAGGAGGATGAGGGGATGAGGCAGGACGCACAGCAGCCCTTTCGGGAGCAGCAACCGCTGCGACTGCAGCTGGAACAGCAGCAGCAGCAGGAGAATGTGCAGTGGCAGCACTATCATCAGCAGCTGCTGCAGCAGCAGTTGCTAATGAATGAGCAGCAGCAGCAGGAGCAGCAGCAGCAGCAGCAAGCACCCGCATGGCAGCTAGCCCTGCACAATGAACCCCCGCCGAACCTACCCGCTCCCGACCCTCTCCTACAGGACTGGGTGGCAAAGAAGCAAGCAGAGAGGGAGAACCTGGTTCGGCAAGGGCTGGAGCTGCAGCTGCCGTCCAGCCAGGTGGGTGCAGCGGAGGAGGAGGCAGAGGCAGAGAGGAAGGTGCAGGCAGCGTTAAAGACGTTTGGGGGTTACAGAGAGGGGTTAGAGCGATGTAAGAGGCAGATGGAGGAGGCCCAGCAGATGTTGCCTCTGTATGCGGCTGCTGGGGTTGGTTCTGATGCTGTTGCTGCTGCGGCTGCTGCTGTTTCTGCTGCGGCTGCTGCTGCTGGTGGTGCAGGTGCCTCTGGTTTCGCTAGTGTCCGTGCTGCCATTGAGGGTTCTTCTGCTGCGCCCAATGCCGCTGGAGATGTCGCCACAGCTGCTGGTTCTGCTCCGGGTTCTTCCCCTCCCTCCTCCCAAAACCCATCCACTGCATCCCCCGCAGCAGCAGCAGCAGGCACACCTGCCAGGCGCAAGAGACAGTCCGCGACAATGGATGCATACACCCTAATGAGCCAGAACAACCAGTTACTCCCCCGGGACATCATAGGCCATGTGCGGGGCGTGCCAGTAGGCTCCACCTTCCCCTCTCGCCTGCACCTCGCAGTGGTGGGCATGCACACCAAGCACATGAGCGGGATTGATTATATCCCGGCCTCCCGCTGCCCGTTCAAAGAGCATGTGACGACGTGTATTGTCATGTCAGGGGGGTATGAGGATGATGAAGATGAAGGGGAAGAGTTTTGGTATACGGGGCAGGGGTCTGGGAATCAGAAGCTGGTGCGGGGGAATCTGGGGCTTGCGAATAGTTATTTCTTGCAGCTGCCTGTGAGGGTGGTGCGCGGGCAGATGGACGGGCTGGGGAGGAAGGCGTATGTGTATGATGGGCTGTATCATGTGCATGACTTTGCGCACATGGTGGGGAAGCAGGGGTGGTATGTGTACCGGTTTAAGATGGTGAGGGACCCAGGGCAACCGCAGTTGAAGTCCCAGCTGGTCACGTGGCGTAGGGGGAGGAAGAGGAGACTGCTGACTGGTGGGACACCTGCTGCTGAGGGAGGTGCTGCCGCTGGTGCCGCTGGTGCTGCTGGTGCTGGTGGTGGTGCTGCTGGTGGTGGTGTCAGCGATGGGTCTGCTGCTGTGGTGGCAGGAGCAGGTGGGAGGGCGTTGGCGTTAACAGCAGGGACGGCGGGTGGAGAGCCGAGGGTGGTGGATGCAGCAGCAGCAGTAGTGGCAGCAGTATTGGCGGCAGCAGTGGCATCAGCAGGTGCAGATGTGAGAGGAGCAGTAGGAGCAGCAGTGACAGGCGGGAACGCAGGAGCTGAGAGCAGCAGGGGGGCAGCTCCCGCTCCCGCTCCTGTTCCCGCTTCCACTCCCACTCCTGCTCCCATTCCTGCTTCCTCTCCTGCTCTTGCTCCTGCATCTGCATCTGCTGCAACAATGACTGTACAACAAAGGACCGAATCTGACACATCACCACCAGCAGCAGGAGGAGCAGCAGTCAAGGCAACCGCTCCAGGGTCTTCCGCTCAGCCTGTGTCCGCGCCATCTCTCTCCCCTTCCACGCCTCCATCCCCCAAGCCATGCTCCATAAGAGCAGGTGAACCATCACCAGCTCCCCCTCTCACGCCCTCTCCCCCACCGCCTCAGCACCCCTCTGCCACTCCAGTGTCTGCTGTTTCCTCTGCTGCTCTTCCCCCCTCGGCCATTCCCGCTTCGCTTCCCTCAACCCGTCCATCCGCGCTTCCTTCTGTTGCTCTTTCATCAGCCCGTGCTGCAGCCCCTCTCCCGGGCAAACCACAGGGACCTTGGCTGGCGCAGGCATCTGCTCCGTCTTGCCTCGTTCTCCCCTCTCACGCCGCCGCCGCACCTGCTACTGCTCGTACTGCTGCTTCTGCTCGTATCTCTTCCTCCTCACCTGCACCCTCCGCCTCTGCTGCTGCTGCTGTTTCTCCAAACGCACCTCGTGCTGCTCGGTTGCCTGTCCTGCTCCCACGCCCACCCATTCAGCGGACAGTCATCGAATTGTCTCCCTCACCCCCCAGCTCTCCAGCTCCTCTTTCCGCGCCATCCCCACATCCAACCCTCCTCTCCCTCCCCCGTCAACACCAACAAAGCATCCCCACCAGTGCTCCCCTCCGCTTGAATCCCTTCAGCCATGCCCCTGCTCCTTTCCCCGCTGCACCTTCCTCTCTTGCCTCTCCCCCCTCCCCTCTCCCCACCCCTGGTTCCACTGAACCATTCGCAGCTGCTTCCCCCCGGCCTCTATGCCTCGCATCCCCTGTTCTACCCTCCTCCGGACCCCCTCCTGTGGCTGCTCCTGCTCTGTCTGCTTGTGTAGCCTTCCCGTCAGCTGCTCCCCCTCTCTCCCCGCCCGCCATCCCCTCTGCGAGCTCTCTTATTGGCTTCTTTGGCCTGCAGAAACCATACTTCGGTTTCTCATCATCTTAAGGCTACTGTTTCTTCTTTCGAGGCACCTCAAAAGTGCTCCCTCTCTCTCCACGCCCACCATTCCCTCTGCCAACTCTCTTATTGGCTTCTTATGTTATCTGTCTGTGTCGCGTGTGCTGTTTGTTTCTCGGCCTGCTTCTGTGCCCTCTTATTTAGTGGACACTACAGGTGGATTGATATAGGTACTGATGAGGTAGTTGTAGCCTATTTTGAGTTTGTGATACTGTGTAATTGTATTTTACCATCGCTCATAGGGACAAAAATATTGCAAGCAATTTTACTGTAGTCATTGACATTCCTCCACGGACGGAAACGGAATTCCATTTGTACAGTCAACAGAAGTACGTATTTTATGCAAATTTACTGTCAATACAGGAAGGCTATGGTTGGAACACAAGATACCATACAGCCCAACAAAACACAGCATCTAATGTAACCAATACCATACATGCAATGCACATGCATGCAATGTCACACCCATCACCCTGTTCTCAAGCAGGGAAATAGCAATCATAAGAATGACCAGAGGGTGACTAGAGAAATCAGAAGAGGGTAGTGGAGGTGATAGCTTGTGGGGTTGGTGGATGGAGGGATGCTGATGGGAAGGGGTGGATGGATGGATAGGCGCATGGAGCATGTGAGGGGGAGGAGCAGTGGCACATGAATGGTGGTGAGAGGAACCCAATATGCATGAGAATGTCTGTGTGGGGTAAGGATGCGGAGTGGGATTGGAGTGCGGTTGTGAGGAGCTGTGTGGGGCAGTAGCATGGGGATGGATACGGATGAATGTGCGTTGGTAGTGAAACATTGGCAGCAAATGCAGCTGCAGTAGTAATGGTGCGTGCATGAGGTGCCAGTCACCGTGGTTAGCCATGATTCATGGCATCATGATTCATGCATGCCCCTATGTGGCATGCCATGCCATGGGGAATAATAGAGTTATCCCATCCTGCCTCCTCTCCTCTCCCTCGCCTCTCCCTCTCCACTCCCTCCCCCCTCTCCCCTTCCCCAATCACCACTCCACACCCTCCACCACCCCTGCTTCCCCTCTCCCCCTCCCTCCCTCCTCCCACTCCTCCCTCATCCCTCTAATCAAGCCGCTTCTGCCACAGACTGCAGCACAATCGCGGAATACCCCAGCAGAGGATAGAACCCCGCAGCGAGCAGCGAAGCAGACTGGGCCACGGCAACAGCACGGTCGGAGGCGGGGAGGTCGGGGGAGAGCACGTCGTAGGGCGGGGGCTTGCTAGTGTCCACCAGCGGTTGCCACGTGCACGCGTAGCGGTCGGGGAGAGTGGCCACTGCTGGCAGGTGCGACGTGTTGAACGCCACGTATAGCTCGGTGCCTTCGTCGTCCCGCTGGTTGGGAGAGGGAGAGGAGGGTGAGAAGGACAGCGGGAAAAGGAAAGGAGTTGGAGGGAAGGTAGAGCATGAAAATGGGACGGTCGGGGAGAGTGGCCACGGCTGGCAGGTGCGACGTGTTGAACGCCATGTGTAGCTCGGTGCCTTCGTCGTCCCGCTGGTTGGGAGAGGGAGAGGAGGGAGGACAGGAGAGGAGGGAGGACAGGAGAGGAGGGAAGGAGGAAGAGGGGGGGAGCAGAAGGGGGGGGGGGGAGGGAAGGGAGTGCAACATGTTGAATGCCATGTATAGCTCCGTGCTGGTTGAGAAGGAAAGGGGAGGTGGGGGAGAGGGAGCGGGAGAGGGGTTGTGGAGCGGGGTACGCAAGGAGTGGGGAAGGGATGTGTTGAATGCCATCGTCGTCACGGTGGTTGGGAGAGGGAGAGGAGGGTGAGAAGGACAGCGGAAAAAGGAAAGGAGGGTGAGAGAAGGTAGGGCATGAAAATGGGACGGTCGGGGAGTGTGGCCACTGCTGGCAGGTGCGACGTGTTGAAAGCCAAGTATAGCTCGGTGCCTTCGTCGTCCTGCTGGTTGGGAGAAAAGAAGGTGGAGAGGGGGATTGGGAGTGGGAAAGGGGTTGTGGAGCGGGGTAGAGCGGGGAAAGGACGTGTTGAAGGGAGGGGAGATACATGGAAGGAGGGTTTGCAATGAAGAGAATGTTAGTCTTGCTGGGTTACGGAGATAGGTACAGGAAGCATGGAGGGGGGAAAAGAGGATGGCATGGCATGGTGTGGCGTGGCGTGGGATGGCATGGGACGGCATCGCACAGCATGGCATGGCATGTCAGGGCATGGTATGGGATCGTACGGCACAACATGGTATGGCATGGTACGACACAACATGGTATGGCATGGTACGACACAACATGGCATGGCATGGGTACGTACGATGGTGAATGCGATGAATCGTGAGGTGTCGGACCAATCAGGGCTGCCAGGGGTGAGGCCATGCCATTGCAGTTGATGCGCCATGGGGAAATCGTCCAACCGGAAACACTTGAACTCCCTGGAGGGCGGGCGAGACGAGGCGGCCGGGAGGGGAGGAGAGACGAGGCAGGGTGCAAAAGACAGACTC